ACGGACCATATAAACCACACAAAAAAATGAAACAGTAACGATTATAGCTCTGAGCTCTAAAAGGACAGGACAAATGGAGAATCCGTGTTTATAGTTGCATAAAAACATTGTTTAAATGGGTGCACACAGGAAAGGGCCTCTCAAGTTGGAATAATGGAATCTCTTCTTACTTCAGCTCATCTAAAATAGCATATTAATAAACTGAACCAAATGTGGTGCTACAGCTGGTTTTATTGGTCATTAACATTTACAGATCCACGTGAAGTCATGTTTTCCAATTTTGAGATTAAAAGATTTAGCTGGCCTAATTATCAGCCTCTGAATGGGGACTCTGGCCGAGCTCAGTCAGCAGAACAGAGCCATCTCTGTCTCCCCTGATGGCTGCACCTTCATGGAGCAGGTGAAATGAAGACAAATACATTCATTGACCTCTGGCTTGATTCGACCCTGAAATAGGCCAGGTCCTGGCAGCTGCCCCAGATTTTACTCTGTGCTTACATTACAGGTGTGTTGTCTACCTTTTAAACCTATTTTCTAGGATCAGAGACCTCTTTGTAGATGTAAGCAAATGGCATCCATCCTCAAAACGTGGCTTGCTTTCTTTCTTCTCAGGTTCTAATTGCTTTCCTGTCCTCTGTTTTGTGAGGTCAAGCCATTAATTGTTTTTGTAAGTGTGATTAAAATCTCTGTCCAAGTGAGAGTTTTGGTGGGAACAAATGCACTGATCAGAAATGGTGCTTGCCCCATCATGTGTCCTGAGTTTTGCTTCCAGAAAAATGGCAGGTGAGAGAGGAGGGAGGGGTGCCAGGAAAGAAAGACAAGATATAAGAAATTCTATCAAGAACCTCCCCACCTCCGCTTCTGTAAGTATGACATTGAAATGAGGCTGTGGCTGGAAAGTGTTCTGGGTCAGCCCTGGCTTGGTGTTTGGTGCAGATAGTGTTGTTAGTTCCTATCACAAGGGCATGGTTCTATGGGTGAGAATTTATACTTAAGGCTCAATGGAGACATGCTGTTGATGGGGTGTGTGGGTTGTGGCGCTATGGCTGATTCCATCAACATCATTTCTCCCTCCTGATCACCTGCCCACCTTTGCACCATCCATTCCTGTCCAGCTTGGGGAACCCCCCCACCCCCATGGGGACAGTGGGCCCAGAGGAAGATTTAAGAACTATAGCCTGGTTCTTCCTGGGGCTCGGAAGAGAGTTCATGGCTATTGCAGCCTAGTCTAGGCCCATCCTAGAAAACACTTTAGGGTTAAAGGGGGGAACTTAACCTGCCCTTGGATTACTAAAATTTGCTGAATGAGTCTATCCAATATGAGTTAGAGTTATTGTTTTATAAGACTCAAGGAACAGGGAAGGCTAAAAGGGAAGGGGCTGAAATATGAATGAGAGGCCCATTTGACGTTTGGCAAATGAGAACTTGGCTGTCTTTTGTTCTCATTGGGCTTGAGCTTCCTTGTGGAAAATGTGGACTGAATAGCCTTATGTGCTGTACTTCAACAGTGACAGCAGGTGGCCATGGATGGTTCTGAGAATAGGAATGGCCACAGTTACCTCTGTATGCAGTAAAACCTGGCTGCATCTTGAAGGTAGATGGAAAGAGGGAGAGACTGAGGACAGAAAGAGTAGTTAAGGAAGTTTGGCAGGGTTCCACACCATGGTTTCTTTGACTATTGATTCTCATTTTTTTCTACCAGAGTTCCTGAGTTCTGAATTAATATCCTCCTGACTACTGATCCTTGGTCTTAACTTCCTGTCATACACAGATTGAATCATGTTCCTCTTTTCAAAAGATATGCTGGAATCCTAATGTAAAGTATCTTAGAAGGTGACATTTTTTTGGAGATAGGGTCTTCAAATAGATAATCAAATTAAGATAAGGTCATTTGGTGGGCCTGAATCCAATATTACTGGCATCTTTATAAAAGGGGAAATCTGGACACATAAAACAGACATGCACATAGGAAGAATGCTATGTGAAGACGAAGGCAGAGATCATGATGATGCCAATAAAAGCTAAAGATTACCAGCAAAACCCTAGAAGCTAGGAGGGAGGCATGGTAAGAGTCCCTTCAGCCTTCTGTGACAGAAGGAATTCTGTCACAATCACTGTTACATTGATTTGTGAGATAATATATTTCTTTGATTTAAGCTATGCAGTTTGAGGGGTTTTTGTTATAGCATCTCTAGCAAACCAATACAGTATGTTTCTACTATTCTTGTTTCTGACTTTTGGCTTGCTTTGACTATAGCAACCATTTATTTTCTCATCCCAACTTGATTTATTTTCAATATTGCTAAAGGGGCTTAGTTCTTATATTGTAAAGCTTAGACTCAGTTTCCTTTCTTGACTTTTTCTTAGGCCTTTCCTGTCTCTTGTCTCTTTTTGGGGTCTATGCCTACATTATGCATGCAGCTCTCCACATGTTACTGGGAGAAGAAAGTGGGGCAGTTTGACTGAACTCTGTGGTTTGAGACTCACTCTATGCTGCCACCTGTGGTTTCTTGAAGTCTAAATACCCCACCGTGTTTTTAACTTCTAACTAGTATTTGAAGCTGAACTAGAAAGAAGGATAGTGACTTGCAACTCCTTTGGTTATTTTTCAGGTTTTTTGGACATATAATATTATCACTCTTGGTCCTGTTCCAAATGCATTTACTCCAAGGATGGTCCTAAAGTTGGAGGTGGAATTGTAATCAGAGGAAATATAATTAAAATAATGTGACAACTTTGAACAATATTAAATTTTCAAATGTACAAAGTACACACAAAACTATAAAAGCCCAGAGGGACTATATGATCTATTCAGAAAGTTAGTTTCTTATGGTCAAATTCCCTTGTGGTATTTCTATATACATTTTCTCATTAAACTTCTTATTTAATATGGCACTGGAATTTTATCACGAGTATAAAATATATTACTTTGATCATTTCTGGCCAACCTTGCTTTATTAAATGAGGCACACTCTGCCATCAATCATCAAAAGCCTTGACCTTGTGCTGGTCTCTCAAGTTCTATGCTGAAAGTATAAACATGGTCTCTGTCCTGAGAAAGCCTTCCAAAGTAGTTAAGGAGATAAGGCAGCCAGATGCCAAGCACTTAGAGAACAATTAAATGCTAAATGATGTTGAACTGGCTTTGATGCAGTCAGAGTCTGATTTCATGGAGTTGTTAGGAAAGATTTCCATGATAACATGGAACCTCAGTTTGTTGTGGAAAGGGTCAATATATCCCCCTAGTTCCCAAATTTCCCTCCTATCTGCCAGGATTATGGGTTGTTTGACTACAAAACAAACTCTTAGGCACACCAAATGGCCCAAGGGAGGAGCTGGTGGAAGAGGCTGTCACCTTTGGTGCTGTGGTGGAAACTAATGAATTTGAAATTTAGATAGATACTCCTTAGAAATAATTATAATAATAGTTTCCTGTTAGTCCCGGCTATTATTTCTCCAGATTCATTTCCTATACTTTACCAAAGGATCCACAACATTCTAGGATGTATGCGAGTTTAAAAGGGGCCTCTGGGAGTTCCTTTTCCATTTTTCTTGGTGGAGGATATGGGAGACATGTTCCCAGCTTGGAATCTGCACAGATGTGTTTCCAATAAAGCACAATTAAACCCCGCGTCTCCACTGGTCTCTTTCCATTAGCCACGAGGCAGTGCGGATGAAGTGTGAGCTCACACGCAGGGTAATAAAGCCATCGTTTGCTTCTTCTCTCTTCACGATGGAAAGGGCCTTCGTTTTGTTTCCTTCACAAAAGTGCAGATTTAATTTGAAGTTGGGGAAAAGAGGGAGGAAAAACAACTTCTCAAAACATGAGACAATAGTTCTTCTTAATAGAAACCACATTTTTCCTTCTAAATTATGGTACCTGCGGGTCCCCGTGCACAGGTTGGGAGGTGATGAAGGAAGGCTTTGGAAGAGTTTGAGGAACTGTGGTTGATATTTTGGCCCATCTGGGCTCTTGTCTCTTGGGTTTCTTGAGATTCATGGAACATATTTGGGTCACCGTGAAATCTGAGAAACCCTTTAGAAAAGTAACTGTGGACATAAATAGCAATGAATGTTTCTGTGTTTAGACCAGAGGTCAGAACGCTTTTTAGTTTTAAGAGTCATTAGTGGGTTAAATAAGGTCTATAGGGACTAGAGGTTCTGGTGGTGGAACTGAAGGTCATGGGGGAAAGAATGAAGTAGGAGAGAGAGAGAGAGAGAGAGAGAGAGAGAGAGAGAGAGAGAGAGAGAAGAAGTGTGTATGAGGAATTAAATTAGTAGTTGTAACAAGACTTTTGTTCTATTTTTGGTTAAATTGTTATCCTTGTTTTAAAGCAGGGTTCCCATAATTTTCCATATGAAAAGTGTTTGGGATTTTAAAAGGTGTCTGGATTTTCCAGCAGTTTTTTTTTCTTATGGAATAAAATGTGATTAATATAAGTTACTGGGGCACCAGAATGGATAGAGCCTGTGGAGCTCTCCTTTCAAGTGCAACCTCCCTTGAGTCACAGGGCCATGAGTGGTACAATAGTAATTGACACCAGAAGTCAATCATTAAATGTCCAAGATGGTTCCTTCCCTGTCCTGGTCTCTTTGCTACTCCAGCCTCCTATGACAAGATCACATTTTCTGGGTGCTACTAGCCATCCTAACATTGGGGGTGGGGCATGGTTTCTGTCTGTTCATCCATAATCAACCACCCCAAATCTTTGGGAATATTCAGGTCTTTTTGGACAAATTCATCAAAGTAAATTTGCTTTACTGAGAAACCAGAAAGATCTGGAGTGAGATGATTTACAGAGTTTTGTAAATAAATAAGTAAATAAATAAAATCCCCCCCCCCCGCCAAAAACTTTTGACACAGATTTTCGTTTTTATATTGTGCAGGATTTTCCATTATAAGCAAAGAATTGGAGATAGGTTTTTATTTATTTTTCAGTCTTGTTTATTTTTGTCACTCCAAGACCTCTTCCTTTAACCACCTTTCTCCCTTCCTTCCTTCCTGCAGATATTTGTAGAGATCCTTCTTTGTGCCAGGAACAGAACTAGGCACTGTGAGTAGAGAAATGATTCCTGCCCTTGGGGACCTAACAGTCCAGAGTGGGAGAGAGAGAGAGAGAGGTGAACATTAATTAAGATGGTGTGATGAATGCTCTAATAAAGTTCAAAGCAGGGTGCTCAGCACCCCACAGAGCCATACGGAAGTGATCATCTGTTTTACCTCAGATGATTTGATTCCTCCAAGAGTAAACTACAATTTCCAAATCTCAGGAGTGCTGGTTTAGGTGTAGCTTTTAAATAAGTCATGCGGGTTGCTGCTACTACTGATTCCAAGGAAGCGAAGGGGGGAGATGGCTGTGAGATTTATTTTCAGGGATCATAGACTTTCTGAATTTATGTTCTCTCAGCCCCCTTGCTTCCCTGGGGCCTAAATATGCTCTGTAATATGGCAGAGCTCCATTCTGCTCCAGCCTGTCTCCAACCTGCTGTTTAACTTGGTTCTTTGGGAGGTCTGTTATTACCCAAAGAGTTCCACTGAATTTGGAAATGGCGTAGGAATTGATTGGAGTCCACATCCCTCACTCCATCCAAGACCCATCAAACCATAGCTGCCGAGGATTCAGAACAGATTGAGAAGATAGTTTGCAATTTCCCTGCTCCTTCCTCGTCATCAATAATCCAGAGGCTAGGGACTTCCCAGAGCCAGGCTGCAGTCCGGAGAGAGGACAGTGACATGGTGAGACATCAGTCTCTGGGGAGCAAAGCTTTCAAGAAGAAAACAAATGTAGTCCAACACTCCATTGATTTTATGACTACCAGGAACAGGAATGGGAAAAGAAAAATATGGAATTGGGGAAACTTTTGTTGTTGCTGAGGTCTGAATATTTCCAGTATTGGTGTCAGATATTGTGTGTCATAGTGGAAAAGAAACTTTTACTGAGCCCACTGGAAAGGTGTTGTAATGGTATGTGCTACTTAGAAGGAGATCTTCAACCAAAGGCACGGGAACATTCTAGATCCACACATCTCAGAATGCACAGGCCTTAGATAACAACCAAAAACCTCAGTGGGCAGGGAGCATTTTCTTCAGTTATTTATGCTCCCCTGCGTTGTAAATTTGGCTTTGTTTGGGTTGTTGAAAAGTTAAACTGCTTGGCAGACGTTTCTGTGAATTATGTGGTTAAAGCCTATCACTGGGCCTTCCGGTGACCCTGGAAATGTGATTTACAACACTTATGGCAAGAAAAAAAAAAGTATCGGGACTAGTTAGAAGATAGAATTGATAAAAATAAATATTAAGTCACAATCTAAATTTAAGGAGAGTAGATAGAATGGGGGGGGGAAGGGCATGGTGATTGCTTTATAAACTGTCCTACTTGGGGTTATAAGGGCCTGGCTCTTGGGAAAACAGGGCTGGAATTTTCCGAGTTTTGGCAATTGAGGAAACACATGTATTAGACATATAGATCAAGCCCAGTCACCCAGATGACTAGAGTAGATAGGGCCCTGTGACATTGGTTGATCTGTCCCTCACTCTATCATCTAAGTTCTGGACAAGAGCCCAGGGTTTGGGTCAGCCTTTTAAAGCCCCAATTCAAGATTGGGACAGAAATTGGCAAGTCACAGAATCAACAGTGCCTACGCAAAGCTTTGTGATCTGGAAGAAGGCACCATGGCAGTATATGGGCACATTTGACTGGCCCATTTCCCAGCTAACTGGACCACTGGTCACTACAGACTCTGCCAGCCTTCCTCACCTGCCCTTCCTACCCTCAGTTCTAGGCCATAATTGGTTCTGCTTGGTCTGAGCTCTCTACCTCACATGAATAACTCCTGAGATCTTTCTGATTAATAAAATTTAGAACCCTATTGATCACTGAAGGAAATCTGAGTATCTTACCCAAATGAAATCAGAGCAAGATGGCTCAGAGATAAATCTTTGAAAGCCTAATTGTGGGAGTTCACATTCTATTGGGACATATTTCCCTTGAATGACATATGATAATGCCTCTTAAAGCATATGGAGGAGCACATATTGACTCTGTGTGAGGATGTCATCCCCCTTCTGACCCACTTTGTCCTGAATCTGCATCAGACATTATTTCCTGCATAAGCCTATGTTGGAACTACTCTTTCTTTGTATTACCTTTCTTTCTTTCTTTCTTTCTTTCTTTCTTTCTTTCTTTCTTTCTTTCTTTCTTTCTTTCTTTCTTTCCATCCATTCATCCGTTTACCTATCCTGTTTCTCTTCATCTATTTTAATAATAGGATTCTTTGCCTTTTTTGTTTACTTATATAAGCTGTTCATTTATAAAATTATAGGAACAAACTTATTTATCCAACCTGATTTTAAGAAGCCTGAATTTTTCATAGATTTTAAAATTCATATTGATTACCAAACTATTCAGCTGGGCATGGTAGTGCATACCTGTGATCCAGGGGGCTCAGGTAGAAGGATCACAAGTTTGAGGCCAGCAGCTGCAACTGAGACTATTTCAAAATAGGGTTGGGGATGTAGCTCTGTGGTAGAACACCCCTGGGTTTAATCCCCAGTACAGATTTAAACAAAACAAAACAAAACAAAAAACTAATTCTCCAAGGGTGTTAAAATTCACCCTTCTTAAACAAGTGGTTTTTTTTTTTTTTAAGTAGTCAAGCCTAGGATGTTAAGTTAGGAAAAGTAAAAGTACCAAAAATATATCTTATTATTTCAAATCTGTGCCTTTCTGCTGACTTCACATTTGCACAAAAAAAATATGAAATAAACAGGTGTTTGAACAGTTTCAGCCTTCCCCTTGAAGTCTCTCATTCATGCCCAGAGAGGGACAGAGGAGTGTGGAGAGATGAAATCAGGACAGGCACTACCATCTTGGTCCTCAAACCTCATGGACTTTAGGGAACTTGGAAACCCCTAGTGACCATTATACTTTTTATCAACTGAATTGTGTCTCTCTTAGATTCATGTTAAAATTCTAACCTCCTATAACTCAGAAAGTGATGGGTTTGGAGATGGAATTTATAAAGGTAGTAAGGTAAAATGAGGCCATTAGGGTAGGATTTTGGTTTAGTCTGAGTAATCGACTTATAAAGAGAAAATGGTTATTTGGGCTCAGTTTTGGAGACTCCAATCTGACCGGTAGCTCCATTGCTTTGGGTCTGGGATGACTGAGCACATCGTGGCAGGAGCACCTGGTGGAGCAAAAAAACACTCACCTCATGACCAGGAAGTGGAAAAGAGAATAATGAGGGAGCCAGGGCCCCCCAGTTCCCTTCAAGGGTCATGGCCTCAATGACTAGTGACCTCCCACTAAGTTCTGCCACCTAAAGGCTCCCCACTACCTCCTAATGTTGTCACCCTAGGGAATAAGCTTTCAACATATGGGCCCTTAGGGGACTTCCAAGGCCTAAACCGTAGCAGATCTCATGGCTGGTGTTCTTTTAAGAGAGAAAGTCAGGACAAAGGCACACAAGGAAGAAAGCTGGTATGAATACACAGGAAAAAGATACCCCAGGAGAGGGGTCTTGGAATGAAACCAACCCTACTGGCCTTCCTTAATCTTGGATATACAGCCTCTAGAACTGTGATAAAATAAATCGCTATTGTTTAAAGCCATCTAATTTGTGGCATTTTATTATGACATTCCAAGCCAATGAACACAGTGCCCTACAGAAAGTACTGCAACCTTCACCAACTGGCTTCTCTAAGCCGGTTCTAACGTAGGAAATCATGGATTAAAACAATATGTGCCTTAATCTACACCCACTCATCACTGGCAATTTATAAATGGAGTGTAAGTGAAGAGAATGATTTATTTCAAGGCATAAATTAGGATTTATACTTTTCTAATTTTAGAGATTGTGAAAGCCTTGGCATTTTATGGTCATGTCAGGCATTCCTGCCTAAGTGGGTTCTCTCCTTCAGGGTTAAGTCTGATGTCTGGAACCTGCCATTAAATGAGAGATGTGAGGAGCATGTCTTTCCATCACAACCATGTCAGGCTGGTGGGAAAGAGCACTAGAATGGGAGTCAGAAGACGCAGACCTTCAAAGGTCTTGATTCTTTCACAAGCTTCCTGAGTGGTCTTGGGCAACTCAATTTACCTGTACAAACTTAAGATCCTTACCTGGATCTTATGGGCAGTTTTCAGACTCACTTTCATGGAATCCTAAGGGGTTCCATGGAAGAATTTCAGAAGTTCTGTGAACTTTTCACTTGAATTTATTTCAGAAAATACATTGTTTTTAACAATTTTAAAACACAGCAATAAAAATAACATATATTCAGATGTGTTTTACTTCACATTTTAATATACCTATGAACATCAATACGTTAAAACATGCTGTTTGATTCATTTGGAATGAGCATCAGAATAAAATCTTGTCATTGGCGTGTATATGTTTGAGGAAGACTACTGCTCTTTTGCACTGGTTTGTCCATCTCTTAAATTCTGACATGACCACTTCATGTCTCCTCTGATGCAAAACTGCCCAGTGAGTTTGTGATCATAGTTCATTCGCACCTGATCACTTATGTGCCAGATCATGCTTCTTTGCATTTATTCTCCTCATTTCATAAGATTTTTGTTTGTACACCCATAACTAAATCTCACATCTTGAAGTCATCACTTTAGCACTAAAATGGATGCTTCCATTCTGACTTTATGATGAGGAGTGCAAAAATTTATTAGGTGTTACTAACAATTCAACTTTGAAGCAGATATTTTCTATTACTTTTCTTGAAAGTTTCTGGATAAATTGAGTTGAACAGAAACCTAAATTGTAAGGCAAATTGTTTTAAAACAAAACAAAAACTGCTACCATTTGCAACCACATAGCTAGAAAAACAAATATTTTCTAAACCAAAATAAAAGAACCAACCAAACCCTGAGGGTTATATGATTGTATGATTGTGATCACTTCAAAAGTACTCCCCCCCAAAAAAAGTTATGTTCATCAAATCTGTCTCAGACTTGTTAGTGATATATTTTATAATATTTGTGATATAATTGAACTCATGTAATAGTTACTAGTCAAGTCCTGATTTTATTTGCTTAAATATTGGAATTCCACTTGACATTTCATTTTTACAGAGGATGATTTTTGTTCATAAAAAGCAAGAAAAACCACCAGATCCGATGAACATCAAGATTCCTTGCAGATGGAACATCCTGGAATCTTCCAAGCTGGATATGAGAGAGGTGGAGGGAAGAGTGAGTTGGAAAGTGAAGGTAACTGCTTGTCTCTGTCCACCTTCTGCTCAGGAACTTCATATTTTTAAGAGAGAAGACAGAATATCTAAGTACATATCCATACCCTTCTGGGATGTCATAACTGATCAATATTTTAACTACACCAATGAATGATCTTGGGGAAATCATGCGGTTATCAAAAAGTACTTCAAAGGTTTTTTTTTTAGAATATTATTTTTATAAGGTATAATATAATTATTTTGAAACATGCTAAAATTCTGCTAAAATGTACTGCATTTCTCCTGGGCAACTCCTCCCTGAAGCTAATCTCACTTGGAGGTAGTACTTGACATAATGTGTAGAAGGATGGGGTTGGGAATTGGGGTGTGGATGTGGGTATGCCCTCCTGTAGCCAGGGTGGGAACTGCGTGAAGATAGAGCCCTTCTAACGCTGCCACATTTAGAAGTCACCCTCATCAGAGCTTAGCGCATTCTCTGAGTGTGGGGCACTGTCAGCTGACCATGACAACTGGCTCCGGGGGTGAATAGCTCCAAGAGGGCTTGTGGAGCATGCAGAGAGAGAACAGAGCGGAGCCAGGCTGTGCAACTGTCTTCAGGACCCTATTTCAATGGCTCCTTCCCTTAAGAAGACAAGGGTTGGATCCAGAATGTTGGTGAGTGGCAGTGCCCAGAGTTTGCCCTGGGCTAGATCCATCCACTGGAATGAATGATTTCAGGTCTAATTTTTGTGGGTGGACTAGTGAGATTGAAGTAACATTCTCCTGATTCCAACATTGATTATTAATGAGGATAGAAGTCCACTTACATATAATAGAGTCCCAAAACAAAAGTAGCTTTAGGAGGACACACTGTATTTGTCTTTCCGATAATAGCCAGGAAGCAGGAGGTGCAGGACTGGCATGGGACGCTTTTCCACAAAGTTGTCTGGTTCCTCTCACTTGGAGGTAGTACTTGACATTGGAGTAGCACTTGACTTGGAGGTAGTATTTCCTGTTTGTTTTTTTTTTTTCTCTCCATCTTCAGGGTATTTCTCTTACATGAAGGATTCAAAGTGGTTACTCTACATTTGTGATCTGGAGGGGAGGATGGAGGAAAGAGGAAGGGGGCCTTTGCTGTTGAAGAAGACAGCTTGCAAGGGGAAGGCTTCACTTATGCTCACGTTCTCTGGTCCACAACTTGGTTATATGGCTGTGCACACTGCAAGGGGGACTGGGAATACAGTTCTTCCTCTGTGCCCTGTGCCCAGATAAAAATAATGAGTTCTATTTTTTTGACAAATAACAGGACACTAAAAATTGAGGAATAAATAGCTGACCCTGCAGGGGTGTTTCATAAAGTAAGCATCACTATGTGGTTGTGGAGCTCTGAAAATCTGGGCTGTACCACAGAGGTGGGTGGCCAAGGCTGATGGGCAGGGAGTCCAGGGGGAGGCATAACAGCTGCTCCTTGTCTAATGGCTGGCACGTGAATGCACCCTCATCAGTATTTATTTATTTATTTTATTTTATTTTTTTTTAAAGAGAGAGAGAGAGAGGATTTTTTTTTAATATTTATTTTCCATTTATCGGCGGACACAACATCTTTGTTGGTATGTGGTGCTGAGGATCGAACCCGGGCCACACGCATGCCAGGCGAGCGCGCTACCGCTTGAGCCACATCCCCAGCCCATCAGTATTTATTTTTATCAGGGATGGGCAATTCCCATTTCCACTGACTATTGCAACTCCTTGAGAATAAATATCAAGTTGAGAAGGGCTGGTCCACATGCTCAAAGCACTCCAAAAGGTGACGTATAGACCCAAGGATTTCAAGCCATATATTCAGTGCTCCTGAGTTCATTCTCTAGTGTTCTGGGGATAGGAGAAGAAATAAAAAAAACAAGGGCTTTTAGTGTAAACTCCTTTCCCTACTTGGTAGTCCAACCAGAGAACCTGCATTTTTATTTCTTGTTTATCTAAGTAAGTCTCTGGGCTAAAAATACAGTTTTTACACTTAATCTCTTAGAGTGAGAGTTTTCTAAACTGTGAACATTTTGATTCTGATGGCTTAAGTGAAATATTTAAATACTAATAATGCCATGATGAGTCACTTGCCCTCATTTTGGGAAATGGTCTTGACCTTACGTTTTTTTGCCAGGAAACAATTTAAGTTAAAAATAAGGAGCAAATGCCAGTGTTGAAAAACAAACAAAATAACACAAAAACAAAAACAACTCCAATGGGTTCCAGTAACTCTGAAGAAGTAATTCCTGGGTGCTTTAAAATCCACTCAACATTTCTGCATCTATTTCCTCCTTGATCCATTTTCATTTACTAATAAAGAAAAAGAAGCACAGAGAGGTAAAGTGACTTCCCCAAAGCTGCACATTCAAGAAGCGCTAGAAACAGAATCAAAGTCAGAACTTTGGAATCTTCACTGTATACAGTTTCCCTTTATTTGTTTACCATCTAGCTGCTGAGAAAGCCCTTCCCTAGAAAACTGAGTCCCCCCGAGCCATTTTATCCCGTGAGCCTGATTTCTGCTGGGATGGCAAGCAAATAGCCATATCATCAGGGCCTCTGGGCTTGACCTTCTCTTTGTCTCTTCCATCTTCTATGGAAAGTCTATCATAAATCAGAGGGTTTCCTAAGCACTGAAGATACTTTAGTAAAGAAAACCTGCAGAACCTTCATGAAACTTATTAGCAGATTCTAGTAGGAACCATAAAAAAATGAAATCATCACTAAATATATGCAATATTTTCAAAGTGACAGCTGCTATGATGAAGACTTCATCAGGGCAATGGAATGGAGAATGGCAGTTAGGAGCACAGACTATTTCAGTTGCATGCTCAGGGGAGGATAAATGATATATGAACAGAGACTGGAAAGCAGGGAAGGTGTGAGCCATGCAAATCTATTGTGGAAGAGCCCTCCAAGGTGATGAGGGAAAACCAAATATATAATATTCTCAGCTTGGTCATGGATCTGCAGGATCAGTGGGACTGGGAGTAGAAGCAAGGCTTTCAAAACTCGTTTGGTCTTGTTGATGGTTGCAGGAGAGAGAGAAGTTAGCTAATCTCAAGAGGCAGAGTTTTCAAACAGTTGAGTGGATGAAATTCTGTGTTTACACAGAATTTTGTGGAGGGACTGGCTTTGGATAGAAGGAGGCACAGGTCATCTCTGAGTCAGGAGGGAAGGTAAAGAAGGTGGGAGGATTGGTAGACTTGGTAAGAAAATGAGTTAGATCTTTTCTGGTTGGTTCTATTTTGTTAGTAAAATGTCAGGCAAAGTCAGTGAAGCAGGATGAAGCTAAGTGGTGAGAAGTCTTTGAAGGTGGTGAGAAAGTAAATTTGCCATCCTAGGAGGGCTGCTGGGTAGTGCTGTGGGCCCCATGAAGTTTGCAGAATTAGACTTGGGCGAGATAGGTCTGCTTTCTGTGCAGTTTTCCCAGCTGCATTTGGATATCAGGGAGGTGTAAGCAGAAAGGTGAATTTAATCATGAGAAAGCTTTTCTCCAGCTCATCCTGACCCGTTGTCCTCCCTTCACCTCGCTGACATTTATGAAATGACTCAGTGGATTCCTTGGCCAATGTTGGGCACAAGGAAGAGAACGAAGGGCAGGAGTTGATGAGTGAGGTGCTTGCAGTGAATTCACTTTGCGGTTCTCTCCCTAGGGGTCCATGGTGGGCAGTGGATACAGCCCTTGGTGAAGGCTCCAGCTTCTTCTGGGCTTCTCTCTCCAATCACTATGCCTCTTATCAGTTCCCAGAAGCCATTCCCTCTTCTTACTCCTTCAGGTTTCTCCTGCTGTTAGCCTTGGGGTCTTCCTGTCTTGTTTTCTCTTTACCTGTGTATGGTTTTAGAAACAGTCCCTTGACTAACATCTCATTGTCTTTGCTTCGTGGGAAGTCCCCTGAGTCATGCAAGCCTGGTTTGGAGTGTGGTCGGGGAAGCCCGATGGAGGGAGAAAGCTTTCCGTGGCATTCGGTAGACGAGGGAGGGATGAAGATGGAAGAAAGGACTCTAAGCTCAGTAAAGAGGAAAATGAGAGCTGCCCCTTCAGCGGGCAGGTGGAACAAGTGGCAGAGTTTTTTTTAGGGTTTGAGATGTGATCACGAGTAAGCTGAAAATGGGTAGACCATCCTCAGAGAGTAGAGAGCTTAAAATAGAAAAGTTTTGGTGGATGTCATGATTGATAACAGCAGTATCTCAATCAATGTTTCCCAATCCTGGCCGACCTATTAAAATGACCAGGGGAACTAATAAAAAAATACAGACAATTGTCTTCACCTTCAGAGATTCTGACTACAATGGATCCATCACATGCCCTGAACATTATCATCTTAAAAAAAAAAAAAAAAAAAAAAAAAAAACTGTCTCAAATTTTTCAGATGTGTGACCAGAGTTAAGGATGGATACAGGGGAGGTCTGGGAAGGGAGTGGCTGACTGAGGTGGATAGAGGATAATGGTCCTCAGCCACCTAAGGAGAAGGAGCTAAAAATCCAGGGACTTGGAAGAATCTCCTGTGTCAAGGTCCCCAAGAAGGATGGCAGCGTTTGCAGTGGAAAGAATTCAGTGCATCAGAAGGTCAAACTAGGAGGTTGATGGTAGTTGGGGAAGCATGGGCGTTTTAGTTTCTGTGGGCTAATCTCTCCCGTTAACACAAGATCCATGTCCAGGAGTGAGGTTGTCTTTGTCCCTCCCCTGTCCAGACCTGTCTCCATCTTTGGTGTTCAGGATCGGCTCCTGGGATTACCTCTGGTGTTTTGGGAACTGCATTTGAATCAAAGTCTATGTACTGTCTTTCCCAGACCTGATTCTGTTGATTCCTTGACATTTCCAACCTTTAACTTTCCTTCTTTACTGATCAAAAAACCAAAAAAAAACAAAAACCCTTTCCTTCGGCCCTCTCCCCCAGGGCTCTTAGGGGTGATAAATTCCAAAGGCTTGTTCATAGATCACACCTGCTAGTATTGACAAAGGGCTTTCCATATTTTAACACACCAGGTAGGACAGGAAGGCACACAAAATTATTC